CCGCGCCCCGCCCCTGCCCCCGGCGCGGCCATCTTGCCCCGCGGAGGATCCTGGGCCGGCCCTCGCGTCGGGGCTCGTCGGCTTCCGCGGCCCGGGCCTCGCCCTCTGCTCGCCGCGATCGGCTCGGCGCCCCGTTGCATTGTGGTCCCGGGAGTCTTTGCGAGAACGGAGGAGATGGCGCCTGCCGGGGCTCGTCGGGACTCTCGGTTCGCCGCTCGCTGGGATGTCTCCTGGTTGTCCGTTCTGGGCTAGGTGGGCAGGACAATACCGCGCCCTCTCAGGACTGTGCTTCCTCCTTAAAACCCTGGAATTCACCCTTAGGCCTCGGCATCCGACCCCCTTTCCCCTCCCACCTCGCCGCCTGCGGGGGTCCTGCGGAGAAGCTCGGATGCAAGTCAAGGGATGGAGACAAAACCGCACTTTCTCTTTCCTGCAGAAGCAGAAATATCCGAGTCAAGCGGTGAACGTGACTTTTTCTCCTGTCTCTGGGCTCCCGCTCCGCTGTACAGATGAATGGTGTCGCCTCCTCTCACGGACTTGCTAAACTCTGCTCCGCAGAGGTGGGCCTTTGGATGGCCTCATCCAATGTCCTCAACTCTCCCTTGCTCCTAACAATGGAATAGCCTCAGTGCAATGGGAAGAGCACGAGATTTGAAGTGCCAAGGACTGAGTCTCGGTTCAGGTGCTTATGAGCTGTAAGACCGTAGGACAATACCTGACTGTGTTCTGTGTAAAACGGAAGTATTGGTGTGCGTTTTCTCGTTAGTTTGTTTTTGGAGATACAAATGAAATGTGTTACTTCTGTTTTATAAGTTCAGAGAGAATAAGTGACTTTTCCAAGGTGGGACAGGCAAGGGTAGGACAGCTGAGACTTGAACTTAGACTTCAACTATCAGGCCAGAGATTCATGCCTTCCATCCCCGTGGAGTTAAACCTCGATATGTACTCAGAATTGCAGGGATGTGACCAGCACTTTAGGTTCATGCTTTACTCTCTGGTAATGTATTGGTCACCATCCTAATTCTGCCCTAATTCGCCTCCTAGTTTCATATGTATGTGTTATCTGCAGCCTTCCAGAAAATGGGACCATATAATTTTAGGGGTTTTTTTAAGTCTTTTAATTTTTATTATAGAAAAAAACCTTCATTTCTTTATTTTGCTTTCTGACTCTGTGCTTGTGCCTTCAAACACTTTCACGATGATTTTCTGCTCCCTGATAAGAAAAGCACGTTTGACTGGGTTGGCCGGGCTCGGTGGCTCAGCCTGTAATCCTGCGCCTTTGGGAGGCTGAGGTGAGTGGATTGCCTGAGCTCATGGGTTCGAGACCCGCCTGGGCAACTTGGCGAGACCTCATCTCTACAATAAATCAAAAAATCAGCCGGGCATGGTAGCGCAAGCCTGTAATTCCGACTACTCGTAAGGCTGAGGCGGAAGGATCACCCGAGCCCAGCAGGTCGAGGCTGCGGTGGCTGGGAGCGGCCACTGCACTTCA